GTGGGAAGGAACTGAGACTGATACCTAGTTCTCACGGGATTTGAGTCCAGTAGCACCTTAGAGACCAGCAAGATTTTTGGGGAAAGAGCTTTTGAGAGTCAAAGCTCCCTTCATCTTTTGGTCACTAAGGTGCTATCAGACTCAAATGTAGCTGTTCTACTGCAGACCAGTACCGCTGCCCTCTGAAACTATTGTTGGTTGAAGAGGCAAGCCAGTGTTGTTATAATACACATGGTGATGGTTCTTATTAAATGGTCCTCCATAGCTATATTCCTGTGCCTAGGGGGGGGAAAGACATTAGGGAGAAGGGTTCTAGCCTCGCCTTTTCTCAGATGTCCTTGTTTTCCGTGTAGAAGCCTCCTTTCATGGAGGCACATCCCACTATGTAGGTTCCTGTTCACAGCAGGAAGTTGTACAGGCCAGACTCGGACTTATTTCTGCACTGAGAACTAGATCCAATAGCGGCAACATTCTGGGAAGGAAAAACTGAGCCAGAGAAAGAGAGGTCTAGGGAAGGGAAGCTGAGTCTGGCAGGCAAATGCACAGAGATCTGTCAGGGGCTGAAGCAGAGTGAGAGAAGTACGCGAGGCAAGCTGGTGAACAAAGAAGAAGAAGAGATTGGATTTATACCCCGCCCTTCACTGCCCAAAGGAGTCTCGGAGCAGCTTACAAACTCCTTTCCCTTCCCCTCCCCACAACAGACACCCTGTGAGGTAGGTGGGGCTGAGAGAGCTCTGAGAGAAACTGCTCTTTCAAGAAGAGCTCTGACAGAACTATGGCTTGCCCAAGGTCATCCAGCAGGTGCAAGTGGAGGAGTGGGGAATCAAACAAGAAGACAAACAAGAGAAGTTTATCTTCTGAGCAGGTCCAGTCTGGTTGTTATTCCCTCCTCCTCAGCCTGAATAATAAACAAACAAATGCCTAGTTGATAAGCAGTCTTCTAACTGTTTTACATCAGGGTTTTTAAGTACTGTACTAATATGCTGAAGTCAAGACAGTACTTTATGATACAATATTAGCTATTTTATTAATTCTGTGCTTTTAAAATTAGTGTTATCTGTATCCTTAATTGAATTGCACAGTTCTCTCATTATTTTTATTCTGTTCTTATTGATATTTACAGTCACCCGCAAGGAAGGCTTTTTGTCAAAATGTACTTGCCAGTGTATTTAAAGTCCTTTTTAATTTGCCATCTACTTCCTCTTCCGCTGTATGGTTCTCTGGCAATTGTTGGTATGGTGGTGTGTTTTTGTTTTTTTTTGCTTCACCATGTTTGAGGAATTGGATATAGGCTGCAAGATTGCTTTACTTCTTGTCTTCTCTCTTCTGGAACATGGGTTCCTCCTGACTGCATTAACGTTAGTAGTGTTGTTAACCAACAATAAAGGATAACCACATTCTAGAGGGGAGGGAGCACGTGCTTCTGTGTGCCACTCCCATTAGATGATATGGCACCTCCAAGTCCATCCATGGAACAGGCTGCCATTTTGAAGGAGTGGGAACTGTGAGGGCTTGATTTTGGTTGGTATCACTGAAACAGAGGGAGAGAAGGGGCTTCTGCCTCCCCGTCGCACCAGTTTTCTGACCCAAAACAACACGGGGGGGGGATGGGCAAATAACCAGTCAACCGTGTTCTGTAGCACATTATAGGTCCAATGCAAGATTTACTTTTGAGTAAATGCTTGACTGAATATACACAATGTACGTGGAAATTAAATCAGACCAAATAACCAAATGTCTGTGAGCCAGTGCATGAGTGCAACAAACTGTAGAAGAAACTTTAGTAGGATTTCGAGATGCTGATCCAGACTCATAAAAACCTGGAAGACAAACTGATGGAGTAGATTGACTTATATCACCAAGGAAAAATAATAATTTAAATTAAGTTTCCTATTTTTGAAATTCATATGTTTCCTGTACAATAATGTGTGCATTCTGGTTACTATACCAAGTAAAACTTACTGGTATGCAACCAAATGACCCTTTATATGTTTCTGGAGGATAATGCAAAACATTTTGTTATGCAGTTCATATATATCTGTGTAGAGAAGTGAGACAGGTTTCTGGCTTTCTATGTACATGTGCAAGGATACTAAGCAAAATTACTTACTTGAAGGCTAAGACTACAGACTTGTGATCACATAGTTGGAAGTGTTGTTGTTAGCCATTCAGTCGTGTTCGACTTTTGGCCATTAAACAAACCCATTAAAAAACTGGGACTTGCCTTTAAGTGAATATGCATAAATCAGGCTACAGTTGTCCAGAACTTTCTATAAGGAAGGGCAGTAATTATTAGGCAAAATAGTGTTTCTCAGTGAGATGGAAAAATTAATAGCCATGCTAAATAGTCATAATTTGAGAACAGAACACGTTGTAAATCTTGGATAGAGAAGGACATAAAATAGACCACAAGATAAGCCATATGGGCTCCATTGATAATTCTGGTAAGCTTCATGGCTATGTGGAACAAAATTCTAGTCCAGCAGCACCTTAAAGACCAATTTTGTTGGCATGTTTTTAAGGCACTGCTGGACTAGAATTTTATGCTCTGACTGCTACATACTATGGCTACCTACCTGAAACTGTCTTCATGACTCAGTATTTGAACTTCAGCTGCCCACTACATCACACCAAATCCTATACAAAAAGTACAGTATAATGGTCTGTAGATTGGTAGGCATGGATGCAGAATAGTGTATGGTATTTTGCGTCCATTTATGGATTATAGTGAATCATGAAGGATCTTCACATTTTGATAGGCTAGTGCTGAAGAAGTCACATACTGCAGCAGGACCGTAGCCGGTAATGGGGGTACGGGGGGCGGTGCCTCCTTTTGAATCTGCAGTGCCTCTACCCCAATCTTCCTTTTCACTTGCCATGTATTGCTTGGGTCATGCTGTGCTGCTGCTGCGCCAGCCCAAAGCGATTCTGAGTGACCCAAAAACAGGAGCCCCTAATTCTAGGAAGAAGCAGCAGGGTGAAGGGCCATAGCCAGTGAATCTGCAGCACCCCCACCTTCCTTCCTTCTGCTCACTTACCCCAGCTTTGGGCTGGTGCAGTGGAGGCACAGCACAGCATAAGCTCTCTCAGACTCCCTCCGCTCCACTGCACCTGCACTGGCCTGGCTCTCATCCGTATGCAAAGAATGAGGAAAGGGGAAGTGAATATATAGAGGGGGAGGCGTACCATGCCTTGTAAAGTTGGAGAAGATAAAAAGCAGAGTAGAAAAGGAACAAATCCCAACAGGAAAACCAGAGTCTAGTGGAGGTGGTGGGGGGGAGGAAGCTCATGTAAGATCTTAAAGAATAGCAAACCAATTGCGACTCTAAAAGGGGGAAAGAGCAAGTGAAAAGAAAGAGTCAAAATGTCAAGGCAGGGCCAGGGAGCGCAGGTTAATCAAAGCAAGTTCAATAGCCAGTCCAGGATTCAGCCAAGAGTTCAGTCAGCAAAACGTTCAAACAAGTCCTAAACAGTTCACACAGCCAGAGTCAAACGTACCGGAGGTCAGAGTCCATAAATCAGGTGAAGTCAGATAAACGCAGAGCTGAAGCCGTAGTCAAAAACGATGCCGAGGGCCAAGAAGCCAGAGTTCCGAAGCCGAGTGACAAACTGCCAAAAGTTCAAAGGGTCCAGAGCAAGGTCGCACAGAGCGTCTGGTCCTGTCAACCAAGTTGCCAGCACGAATTGCTCAAAGCAACAGGTCTGTTGAAATAGTGTGCTGGCTCATTAACTCATTAGCTCCTTGAAGCAAGGTCCAGGCTGCTGTCAAAATTCAGGACTGAATGAGCATCGACCACGCATGCGTGCAGCCTTCCGTCTCTCATTCAGCTCCTGTCGTCTTTGGTTTCTGAGCCGGTTAACAGGTGGGGGAGAGTCGGGCGGTGATACACTTGGGCCAGGCAGTGCCTGATCAGACTCAGGTGTCTCCTGGGGAGTGCTATCCTCTTCAGGACTTACAGTTTCCTCAGTTAAAGGTGCCAAATCCACCTGTTCCTGGGTGTCAGGCTCTGCTTCTGCAGCCACGTCAGGGGCAGGCATGACACAGCGGGGGGCAATGGGGCATTGGAGGATCTCACTGCTGGTGTTGGGGTAAGTGAAATCACTTCGAGCTTCCTTAATTTAATTACCAGATCAGTTAATTTACTTCAGTTTAGTTTAATTACCACGCCCCCCCCAAGTTTCTGGCTACAAGGCTGTACTACAGCTCAATTGAAAAATTGAATGTCAAGGTGTACTGCCTCCTCCAGTCCTGTTTTCTAGCTGCAAAGCATGGCCTTCTGTGTTTATATCTTGGAAGCTTGTTTGATTTATAGAAGAGGTCATTTTTATATGGATTAAGACATGCACTTCTTGGGCTCATTCAGTCCTTCATATATTTCCCTTTATTTAGTAGTAACGGGAATGCCTTATTTTGGAGAAAGAAATGGTAAAAAGTGTGTTCTCACTAGAAGAAAGTAAAGTGAATTAAAGTATGTGATTCCCTTCTGCTCAACTACCCTATCTATATTTTAGACTCTCAACTGTTGAAAAAATAGTTTATTTTAAAACTGTTTTTCGGAAGGCTGTTTATCATCCATTTTTTCATTTCTCCGTTTAATGTCTGTTCACCCTTATAGTTGCTTTAGCTTATTACCTTGTGAGGGGGGGTGACGACTTTTGATCTTCATAAGCTACTTTTCTAGAATATTTCCAACGAATAGCTGTGACAGTCTGTGGACGCAAGAGAACAAAAACTTCTGGTGTTGCAGTGCTGTTTATCTTTCCTGAAAATGTATTTTATATTGCGGGTTTAATGAAGCTAAACTGTTCTTTTATGCTTCTAAACTGTTCTCTTATGCTTCTAAGAAGAGTTATTGTTAAAAAACACAATCAAATTTAAGTCTGCTTTTTAATATTTAAATTTTTAAATATTTCAATATTTTCTTAGACCACAAATATTAAAACAATTAAATATGAAATTATTAGCTGCAACTACTGTTGAATTCTATGTATATGTACAGGAATTTGACAAGAGGAGTCGGTAGATTTAGAGAAATTCTAAGAGCTGTTGAGACAAGAACTACACAAAATCTACGAATGGTAAGTTTTTATGCCTACATCTAATTGCAACTAATTACAGTTAATAATTTATTTTGTAATTGGTTATAAACCAATAATACCTGGCTTGTGCATTGTTGTCCTGTTCATGAATTAGAAGAAAAAATCATTACGGAACATTCAGTTATTAACAAAATATTTTAATGCAATATTAAATTAAAAGTAGATAATTCAGAGAATACCAATATGTATTTTGCTGAAGGCACATTTGCCAGAACACTTGTATTAACAGCCTATTCATGCTTATGAGCAAAATTTTATGCAGTATGATTAATGTTTTTAGTTCTGAAATATTTTTTGTACACTCTTAATGAAAAAAATATATTGTTCCATGTTAGACAATAGCAAGGCAATTAGCTGAAATCTTGTTAAGAGGCATGTGTGAACAAAGTTATTGGAACCCGTTGGAGGACCCTCCTCATCAGTCGCCCCTGGACGATCCCCTCTGGAAAGGTGCAAACACCAAAAACTATGCACTTAGCAGAAGACCACGAGTGTACTCTGGAGAAAAGTAAGTTTTCTCATTGATTTTTAACATAATTGGTTTGTATGCTTTGTAATAGCATTCTACTGGAGTAATAAAAAGTAGGGGAATAGTCTTAACCGTGTTGCTGTGACAGAGACCAAAATGGAGGAAGAAATCCACTTTCTTGCTCAGCCCAATGAAAACATTTTTCCTGACACTGTGTAAAAAATTTCTATTATTAGACATCCACCAGGGCTGTGGTGGCTCAAGTGGTTATGACACTGAACTGCAGACCGGAAGGTTGCTAGTTCAGCAGTTTGAGACCTGAGTGCCGCATGATGAAGTGAGCTCCCGTCTCTGGTCCCAGGCTCCTGCCAACCTAGCAGTTCGAAAGCAAAAAAATGCAAGTAGATAAATAGGTACCGCTTCAGTGGGAAGGTAACAGCGTTCTGTGCGCCTCGGTGTCTAGTCATGCCAACCACATGACCACGGAAATGTCTTCGGACAGCGGTGGCTTAACGGCTTTGAAACGGAGATGAGCACCGCAACCCTAGAGTCGGATTCGACTGGCTTTTGAGCAAGGGAAACCTGTACCTTTACTAATACATCATGCACAATACTGTAATACTTGAGCAACATGGTAAAGCA